GGGGCGGGGGACGCGGCAAAATTGTGTCTCCGCCCCCCCCTTTCTTGCCCACTCCCATTCGCCAGCCGTATCTACTCTCTAAAAAATTGAGGGGTTCGGGGAAAGGCGGGGGCCGCAGATCGAAGCTGGACCTGCAGTATCCCCCGCACCTAGAGGGCAACCATGGCCGAGGAGAGCTCCGATGTTCCCAGGGAGTTGATAGGTAAGATTCGCGCGGTTGCTCGTTTTCCATCTTCCTCTGCGTACGCCGCACCTCCATCTCCCTTCCCACCCCTGCTTCGCTCAGGTCGCACGAAGTCTCGGCTCCCCTGAGGGCGGAGTGGTGGTGGGCAGTGTCGCGGGAGGGCGCCGGGAAGTTTGTTCCCATCTGACCGCCTCGAGAGCCAGGTCGGGGGAGGGAAGGCGTCGGGGGAGGAATCGGGAGCCCCCCGAGGGGTCTCGGCTAGGAACCCCGGGCGCTTCCTTCCGCCCAGACGAGGGGCCCATGTTGGTGCTAGAAGGGGGCGGACTACCTAAGTCTTGAGAGTTCTGGAAGCGAGAAGAACCGGCTACAGCGCCCAACCCACCACTCCAAACTCGTGAAAGTCCGGGAAAGCCTATGAGAAGGACAGCTGGTGAGCGCACAGTAGGTTGTCTCCGGCATGTGTCAGGCACCCTCCAGAAAATGCCCCGCGGGAAGTGCCCCTCTGGCTTACAGAATTGGGGGGGGGGGGCAAGTCTGGTAAAAATGTCTGGGCCTGGCAAGGCGTGGCTTGGTGTAGCGAGCTGGGAAGGAAAGGGTTACGGGGCTGACGCAAACTCGAGCCAGGAAATTGAGAGTTAATGATAAAAGTCTTATTTTAATAATGATTAACCTACTGAGTCTCCCTGTCCTGGATCTCTTGGGGAACCCTGTGAAAGGTGACCCATTGTTCGAGTCCCTTAAGGTTTTATTGGGGGGGGGTGGATTTTAAGTCTTGGGGTTTAACTTAATCATCTGGAGGGTTAAAATGGCAGAGCTAACATAGGATGGGAGAGTGTTCTGAAAACGTAGGTTTGAAGCCTGTGTGTGTAACATATTATGTTGTAGCAAGGTATGTGTACCTGCGTGCTGATGTATTTTGAGCCCCAGTGACCTATATTCCCCACTGTACCATCCTTGGCTCCCTACACAGCCAATAACTCAGAAAGATGATGTTTAATTGGTGCTGACAACAAGAGGAAGTTGTAAGCCCATTCATCTCCATATGGGGAATTTGACCCTCTGTTGCTTATTTTAGTTTTAGCCATAATACTTGAGAGGAATTTGTGTGCCCTTCCATTAGTGACTGTTAACTCAGCAGGTTAAACTTGTTGTTAAGAAGCTGCTGCTAGGTTTGTATGAAATCCTCTCTTTGTTGAATTACAGACAAACCTCACCCTTTACCAGAATTTAGAGCATGAAGACACACACACACACACACACACACACACACACACACACACACACACACACACACACACACACACACACAACCATACTACTCCTGACAGGTTCTTCTCTCTCCCTAACCCTGGGGAGTCTGTTCCTGAGGTAAGTATTCACCTTGGATGGAGTGAGTGACCCATCCCATTCTGGGAGGCTGAGAGACCTTTCCAACACCCCACCGGAAGAGAAAGCAAACACCAAAGGCCCTGAAGATGCCTCCTGGGAGGGAGGTCCTGAGAAAGAGTTTAGGGAAGCCCTTGCTTGGCTGGTCAGCAGATCTGGGTGACTGAAGAGAGTGGCATATTTTAAATTTGTGTAGTGAGTTGTCCTTGAGTCTGATAATAAGAAGTTTATGTAATTAGACTCAGAGAAAGGGTGAAGGATGGCGTGGAAATAAGGTATCTGGTTTATGTTGATGGTTTTCCAAATAAATACTTTGGTATATTTTAAAAGTTGAGTTTGACCTTTTTCTTGAAATGTATTGTGTATTGCTCATCTCTTATTTCTCTTAACAGAGTGAGATGCTTTTGTGATATGACCAATATAATTTTTCTATGCTTTTCAATCATCAAGTTACTCTGGGATACGGGGAATTCTTGCACCTGCTTTCCTCTCCAATTTCAAGCGCTCACAAGAGTTCTTGTCTGATTGATTCAAAATGGTGACCGTGTGAAAACGTCAGTATATTCCCTTGAGCGAATCCCTTAAGGCATTTTAAAAATGTAGTGTGTATCTTTCTGATTATAAAAGTAATACAGGCTTTTTGTAGAAAAATTCCAAATGCAGAGAAGAATAGGAAGAATATATTTGTCACTCATAGTTACCTTTAATCTTTTGGTTTGTATTTTCTCAGTCTCTTTCTGTATGTTAAGTTCATTTCGGATGCCCATTTCTCACAATTCTTTCTTAGAGAGGGAAGGAGTTGCCCATACTTGTTTCAAGTTCTGATAAGATTGGAGCTGTGTGGAGAACTCCCAGTGCAGTGCCCCTACATGTTCCCTGACCCCCAAGGTTCTACTTCATTGCTGTTCTTTGAACGGGTTGTGCTTTCTCAGGGTTCCATGCTGTTCTCTGCATACAGTGCTCTCCTCTCCTGTCTTTACTCTTATCTAACTCAGTGGCACTACACTTTCATGAGTGTGTGTTTCCAACAAGAAAATTTTGATCATTCTTAGTAAACGTATATTTGGTAAACTGCATAACATATTTCATTTAATTTGAAACACACACTGTAAATAGAAGTAAAAATTCTGTTTTCTTCCTGCATCTTAATGGATTGTATTGTACACTTCACTTTGTAAACCAGTGGTCTGTTTCCTGTGCCTTCAAGATTGAGCTCAGGGATCCCCTCCTCCTCAAAATCTTCATGTGCTTCCTAATTCACACTCCTGTGTACTGTGTGCAGATTTGTTTCATGGCATCCCTCCATGGCCTCCGCTAGATTGGCCTCCTGTGAAAAGCTGGGATCATCTCTGCCTAGTACCTTGTGAAGTACCTGGCACACAGGCGGTATTTTGTTTGTTGACTATGTGGATAAACCAAAATGATTACAATACAGAATAAAGGGCTATGAGAGTGTAGAGGGAGGAGCTGTATTTTGGAGGATAAGTTAAATATAACCAAGAGGAGAATAGGGAAAGGGCATCCCAGGAAAGAGGATAATATGTTCAAGATCTCAGGGATTCAAAAGATGAACATGGTAGGGATAATTGGATCTTTAGGTATTTGCTGAGAAGTTAAGCTGAAAAAATGTGAGAGACCTTGAATGGCATGTTGTGAGGTTTGGGTTAATCCAAAAATGACTGCAACTTGTAGATCAGGAGTGAAGTGATCAGGTTCATGGTCTTGGAAGGGTCACTGTGGTTATGGAGCTCTTAGTGGGCTGATAGGTTAGAGGCCATCTCTCTTGGTAAGAGATTCTATGGCCCTTAATGCAGCCATGCTCAGGTGATCAGGAACTGTTTAGAAGGCAATTTTAGGAGATTGACTCCCTGAGAGAAAAGAGTTGGAGATAAGCAAGGTTTCTAGCTTCATTAGTGGCCAGAGGAGGAGATGGTGAGTTTGCTTCAGGATGTGTTCAGTTTGGAGTACTCATGGGAGTTCTAGGAAGACTTACCCACCACCATCTGAATTTTCAAGTCTCTCTCCAAATTTCTTTTCCATTGCCTTTGATTACTTTTTTGGGGTATTGTACCAGAATGATTTTGGTAGGACACATGCCTGGAAGTGACCTTGTCTGGCTAAATCATTTGATCTAGTTCTGGTTCTTTGCCATGTTCCTCAGATACCATGTTAAGGCACTCATAGACAATGCTAATATTTGTACGGCAATGTGGTGAATCCAGAGCCTGTGGGAGACCAAGGGCTGAGGGAGTTTATGAATTTCTATTTTACTTACAGTGCCCTACATTGCTGTGTTGTTGTTTTTCCTTGTGTTTGTATCCTTTTTTCCAAGCAAGATTGTCAAGCAAGGCTGGTATTATGGTATTACATCATATGCTTTTTTTTTTTTTGGAACCTGTGTCTCACCCTGTCACCCAGGCTGGAGTGCAGTGGCATGAATATGGCTCACCACAGTCTTGACCTCCTGAGCTCTGATGATCCTTCTGCCTCAGCTTCCTGAGTAGCTGGGACTACACTACTGTACAGCCATCATGCCTGGCTAGTTAAAAACATTTTTTTTTTGTAAAGACAAGGCCACCCTATGTTCCCTTAGGCTGGTCTTGGACTCCTGGGCTCAAGCAATCCTCTCTTCTCAGCCTCCCAAAGTGCTGGAGTTAAAAGCATGAGCCTCCCATCTGAGTACACAGTACAAGGCACATAGAAGGTGTTTATTACGTACTTGATGGCTGATAACTATCAGGCTTGTTCAAACAAGCATATATATAAATATAAATATACATATATAAAAATATATATAAATATAAATATATATAAATATAAATATATATAAATATAGATATATAAATATAGATATATATAAATATAAATATAAATATATATATATAAAAGACAAGCAACAAAAATAAAATCAACCAAATATAGAGCAACCAAATGCTCTTTTCTCCTTACTTTTTTTCTTATTAATAAAAGAATATAATGAAACGATTCTCTTCTTTCAGAAAGCATAAAGGATGTTATTGGCAGAAAGATAAAAATTTCAGTGAAGAAGAAAGTAAAGTTGGAAGTTAAGGGCGACAAAGTTGAAAACAAAGTGCTGGTAAGTATTATTGTTTTTATTAAAATGTTTGAAAGTGAAACTGTCTTGTTGCCATCGTTTTGATGGGTTCCTTAATTTTCATGCAGCACTAGTTCTGTGTTTTATATTTTGTTCAAAATTTGTGATGACCATTTTGTCTTAGATTACTTGGAACATTTGTCAGAAGTAAAAAAACAGCAATTTAAATTTTAGAGAGTAAAGGTTTTAAAAGTATATTTCTCAAAGTATTTAGGTCATCTCCTGGAGACTTTTCATATTATTCAAAGTTTGATGTTCAATGGAGCTTATTTATATGATTTTAAGGTCTTATAGAGGAGTCTAAAAAATTCATCTTACATTGATTTAATTGTTTAATTAAAATTTTTCAGTGTTATATCCGAGTCTGTCTTAGGGATGATGATCTGAGAAGGTGAACAAAGCATCAGCCATATTGTGTTTTGAAGGGAAATGCCAACTGGAAGTAGTAACTGCTAGTGTTGCCATTGGACTTGGGTTTTTTTCTGGTTTGTGAGAGAGTTGCTGGGGGTTGGGGGATTAGGCCCTCCTGGGCAAAAGTTCTCAGAGAGTCATCAGTGACTGAGTTGTACCTTTAGAGAGGTGAAAAGCCTTTTGTGGTTTTCTAGGTTGAGATTGTGGCAAACCTATATTTAAGCTTAGGTGGAGAGACTATTTTGTTGAAGAGAATATTCTGTGTAACTTTTTATCATGGAAATTGTCAAACTTATGCAAAACATAGAGAATATAGTATATTGAATCCTGTGTACTTTTTATCCCAACTTCAACCATTTTTGACATTTTTCCAGTATAGTTTTATCTATTTCCTTCACAGTTTTTTCCCCCTGGTGTATTTTAGAACAACTCCCAAGCGTATGTTATTGAAAGAAAATGTTTTTAATGTTTCATTTCTTCAGTTGAAGTTGCCACTGAATTTGATGTGTGTTTCTGATAACGTCTGTCTTCAGAATCTTCTAGAATATCTAACCCCAAGATATATGACTGTCTTTTCTTGTAGATATAAGTAAGGATTATGCTGTTGATGGATGACTTCTATTTCTCTGCTGTCTGTGTCTGAACTGGCAAAGTTTGAGTGATTTTTGAGCACACAATTTGAGCACACAAAGTGTGCTCATGTAAACTGCATGATTAAAGTTATCGATAGCAGAAATGATTGCTGCCATTGTTCTGTTTTATTTAGCTTTAATAAAGAGTACATTTCCTTAAATTATGTTTTTCTTAAGCTGTCAACTATAGTATTCTGTTATTTTTTGGATGTGGAAGTGTAGAGAGAAGAAATATTGTTTCTGTCACTTGCTGTTTTAAATGTTTAAAGTAAAATTTTAGTTATGTAAGTAAAATTTTAACTATGTAGTAACTTTACAGGTTGAGTCCACCTCTCTACAACTTAAGTATTAAGTAGTTGTTGCTACAACAGTCTACACAATGGTACTTGCTATTATTTGGTATGGACACTATTCATTATATTAAAAATAAACCATGTCATGAATAGTTTGTGATGTTGAAATTTCAAAGACAAATTAAAATGTCCAGTGTAAAATTAGCATTATTTAAAAATAGTTATGATTAGTACTTACTATTAACTTTTTTTTGGCTTATCTTAATATCAGCTGGAGTTGATTTAAGTTGTAACCAAATTATAAATGTATTTGAGTTTAAGCATTTATCTCTTCAAATCTGGAATCTAAGCAGTTTCTAGGAGCTTGGTCTAAACTTGTTATGACTGTTACTTACTTGCATAGGCAGGAATTATCAATAGAAATACTCAAGGTCTAGCTTTCTCTGATAGGCTTCAAGTTTGAACAAGGATATCTTTTTTTTTTTTTGAGTTGGAGTCTCACTCTGTCGCCCAGACTGAAGTGCAGTGGCCGCTCCCGGCCACCGCAGCCTCGACCTGCTGGGTTCCGGTGATCCTTCCGCCTCAGCCTTCCGAGTAGCCGGAATTACAGGCATGCGCTACCACACCCAGCTGATTTTTTGATTTATTGTAGAGATGAGGTCTCGCCAAGTTACCCATACGGGTCTCCATCCCGCGGGCTCAGGCAATCCCCTCATCTCAGCCTCCCAAAGGTGCGGGATTACAGGCTGAGCTACCGAGCCCGGCTTGAGCAAGGATATCTATGATGTCACCATCACATTGTGGATTTTGGAGTTTTAGAGAATTTAATTACTTAATCAGTTGTCAGTCTACAAAAATGGATTATAAATGAGGCTTAATACCTTTAGTCCACTTTATTTTTGAGTTGTACTTCTGTTCTTCTTCCTCACTGCCCACTGTAAGCTCCTTTCCTTCTTATAAAGGAGTGTGTTATGTGTTACTTGGTTCTTTCTTTTTGCACTTTGAGACTTTATTTTACTTCTACCTTATCTTTTGCAGAGGGTTTTTCTTCATCTTCTTTCTCATGATCATAGTAGCTAATGTTTTTTTTTTTTTGAGTTGGAATCTCACTCTGTTGCCCGGCTGGAGTGCAGTAGCATGCTCATGGTTACCCCAGCGTCGACCTGATGGGCTCCTGTGATCCTTCTGCCTCAGCCTTCCAAGTAGGCAGAACTACAGGGTGTGCCCTACCACACCCAGCTAATATTTTGATTTATTATAGAGATGAGGTCTTACCAAGTTGCCAAGCTGTTCTTGAACCCGTGGGCTCAGGCAGTTGTCTCACCTTGGCCTCCCAAAGTGCTGGGATTATAGGCCACCATGCCTGGCCTTAATAGCTAATATTTTTAAAGACTAGTCAAATAAAGCAATTGGAATGGAGAAGGAACAAGGAAACCTGTAACTGGTTGTGATCAATTAGTTGTAAACAGCACTGTACTCAGACTAGTAATGATCATAGTAGCTAATATTTATTGAACACTGAGCAAGTGCTAGAGAGACTGTGCTGAGTACTTTATTATGCATTATCTTATTCCATCCCCATCACAGTCCTATGAGGTAGTCACTTTTTATGTCTTCATTTTACAGATGAAGAAATTGAGATTTGGAGAGGCTAAAGCAAATGACTTCAGGGCATTCAACTAGTTAATGGCAGAATTGGGATTTGAACCCAGATCTGCCTCACTCAGACCCTATCTGCTTTGCCATTATACTAAAAATAAAAAGAAAACAGCCTTTGCCTTATTGTTTAGTGATTGCTGACTCAAATAATGATGGGGGGATTTGTACTTTAGAAGGACGAATACTCCCTGTCTTATTTATTGATTTATATATTCAATTGTTTGTGTTTATTGAGCACCTGCTGTGTGTCAAGTACACAGTATGCACAAGATGGATATAGTCTCTGACTTAAGGGGATTCTGAGTTTATAGTATAGTTGGTGAGGTAAACATATAGCCAGGCCAGCCAGTGGTTTGAGATTGTTGTATGAGTGGATACATGGGGACTTTAAGAGCACAGAGGAGGAACTTCAGACTTATCCCTGAGGGTCAGGGAAGATGTCCAGAAGAAAGAGAAGGCTAACTAAGCTGATATTCAGTGGATGAGTAGGAGCTAGCCAAGGAGGAGAGTGGAGGCATGTTCTGGACAAAGGGAACAGGATCTTGCAGGAACCCCGAGAGAGCTTAGCGTGTTAGAGAAACATACTATAAGTAAGCTGGGGCAGGGAGTATAAGGTGGAGAATAGTCAGACATAATGCCCGACTCCTTTTTTTGCAGTTGGGATATCAGGTGAAAGTTGGGACTGGTTAAACAGGTCTCTTCTTGCCACCTGTTTCTAATTACCTTCACATAAACTCTATTCTACTGTTGGAAGACCATAGAGCTCTGTGGTTAAGGGCTCAGAATTTACAGTCACACCTGGTTCACGCTGCTGCTCAGCAACTTTATAACAATATTAAGAATCAATTCTTTCTTCTAATGAAACAGGTGCTACAACAGTATTTGTGTCTGGTTGCTTTGAAGATTAGGTGGAATATGTTTAAATACTGGTTAGTACAATGCCTGCATGTGGCACATATGCAACAAATGATAAAGAAAGAGGCACTAAGGGGTCTTGCATTCTATTTTATCAGTGGTATAGACATTGTCAATCCTGAAGCCCGAGTATCCACTCCCTCTATTGAGGGATTGAGATCAGTTTACTGTAAGGCCATAGTTTCATATTCATCGTTTCTAACACCTTATTAACAGAGAGGGCAAAGACTAGATCCCAAATTCCTAAGGTATGCTTTGGTCAAATGAAATCAGAAATGCTAGATGTTCTGGAGGAAGAGTGTTCTGTGCTCTAATAAATTTGGCATTTAGGGTGAGTGTTAAAGGTAAATCAGTTTATTGTATGGCTTTTTAGAGCCACTGATATACCTCTGTGCATTGTACATTTCTAAGAATCGGGTAACATGTGCTGTCTTTTTCAAACTTATTTGGCCCTAATGACCATAGACTGGAAAACTGAAACAGGCCAGACCTGGTGTTGCTTGGGGCAGTAAAGGAAAAATAGAACAGGCTCGAATAGGTTATCATCAGGAGTGCTTTCCTGGGGAACAGTCCTTTAGCTCTTTTTCTTTCTTTTCTTTTTTCTTATCTAAGTGTGAGCAATTCTGTTGTGGGCCATACTGGCATTACACATCATCTGTTGCTGTAATACCTTTCGCTATTGTCTTTAGAGAATGTCATTAGAAGGTGATTCTGTGTTTTCTAGAATCACGTTCTCTTCTTCCATTTGCGAATTGAATCTTCACTCAATTTTTATAGTACTTGGACTTTTTAAAAATGCTTTTTAATTTATGTAGTTTTTAAAATTAAACTTTTCAATTTTAGGTAAATGTAGATGTAAATGCTGTTATAATATAATACAGAGAGGTCCCCTTGTAACCTTTATCTAGTTCTCTATTTTAAAAAATTATAATATAACATCACAACCAGGATACTGAGAATGATTGCTACTGTAAAATGCAGGAGATTTCCATCACCACAAGGATCCCTTACAGTGCCCTTTTATAACCTTACCCAGCTACCTCCCTCTTCTCTGCCCCTAGTGTTACTAATA